GTCAAGTATCCAATAGGCTGCTAAATTAATTTAATAAACTTTTGTTTGTAGGGCAAATATGAGTCAATGCTCTACAGTGAAGTTTTTGGATTTCATTAGCATTTTCCATCAGAATCTGAGCTTTAGTAAAGTTTATAAAAATTCTGTGTATTTAAGTTTGGCATACATGGCCTCAACTCAGGCACCATTTAAAACGTGAATATGCCACACACTTTTCAGAGGATTAATTCAGTTGCCAGTGAAATAAAATAGCTTAGGACAAATGCATGTGTTCACAGAGGAAGTTTTGATAAAACCACCACCACACAAAAGATTATAACATTCTAAACACACTGGATAAGGGTGAGTAGAAGTTGATAAATTAAAGAAATCTTTTTTTTTTTTTAAATCAAATTAAATACAGGTTTATTTTTTAAAAACAAACATTTAAAATTAAATTTGATTTTTTAAAAAAATTGTCAATCTAATGTTAAGGCCCACACTTATTTTAAACTATTAAAATCATTTAGATTAAATACAAAAAATAATACTAAGCAGTACATGTTTGCTGCTAAATTTTAAAGAAAGTCAGACTATGGAACTGGACCCAGAGTTTGCTGAATTGCTAAACTAGTTTTTGACATCAGTATACTCTTCTACAGGTGCAGAGAGAATAGTTTCTTTATTTCAGTTTTTTCAAACTAGTTTCAGTTCAATGACTAGCTAATTCAAAAATAAAGAAACCAATTGGAGTTGAAAAAGCAGAAAAGCTTGTTTTTCTCTTCCAATCTATGAATATAAACTTTGAGAGGATGAGATCTCCTAGTTCTAAAATCTTGAAGGACATGGCAACTAGAAACAATTAGTTCAATACATTAACTATAAATACTACTTACTTTGTTTACTAAAGCAGTTAGTTTTAAATACAAGACATGTTTTAATAAGCTTACTTTGTTTCTTATGTATCCAGAATTTTTAAGGGAGAATTCTGAAATTGCTGTTTTTGTGCATTTAACTGAATTCCAATTTCCATCCAAATGCAACTGACATAAATCATAAGTAGAAAATTAATTTAGTAATTAAGAAATGCATTATTCAGCATTTTCTAACATAATACAAATGTAAAATAAATCTGAATAAATAAGTTTGGCTATGTAATTGCTTAAATAAATGTGTACAGATGGTTTATCTTCATAGTTACCAAACAGTAGCACCAAATTCAGTGTAAAGGCTGATTTGCAAAGCATTGTGTTTTAATGGTTACCAACAGTGATGACTGGTGTGTGTGTGTGTGTGTGTGTGTGTGTGTGTATGTTGCCTTCCTGCAGCCTTTTAACATAATTTAAAAGTACAAATGCAAAACCATGATTCAAATTGGTGATTTAAATCAAGGTTTCCTGCTTGTTGATTTAAATCATGATAGAATTAGTGATTTAAATCAATCCACCATGCACTGAATATTCTCATCTTTTTTTGATACATTGGACCAAATTCTGCAGTTACACCAATGTCAAAGACTTTGATAGCTTCAATGACATTAATCTGGTTATACCACTCTGCCAAGTGTGTGTACAAACTCTTTTCCTCCCATAAAACACATCTATGAAATCTTGTGGGAAAAAATACTTGCTTTAGAGAAGCCATACCTTTTCCCCTGAAGTTCTTTATCCATTTTAAGAAGATTTGGCAAATCCTTCTTCATACAGCGTCTAGATCGGCCTAAGGAATCCACATAATCAACCCTGCAATGGAAGTAAAAAGAATTTCACACAATTTATATTCTCAGATTTATAGAACTCTTATCCAAAGGATAAAAAATTAACTGAATACTTCCCATAGAGAATATTCACATTCAGGGTGCTAAAGTTACCTTCATCCTAACAGTTAACAGGCCCAGTTTAACAATTAAAAGGACATTTTTTTAAACAGGATTCCTGACAGATTGATCACATTGATATATTTTATTCAATCTCATTTTGAGCCAACTGTCTTCCTTCATGATAAGACAGTTTGAAAACGGTTTACAAGTTACAATGTCACATAGCTCCCAAGTCAAAATAACATTGCAAGCATAATATTTGCTTCCTGTGGTGAAAATAATGATGCAGCACTGACTTCTCACACAAATATTAAATTGCTACAGTATAATGCAATTATCAGTCTATGGCTCATTTACTAAGAGCTTCAGTGATCATTCAACTGGTTTAACAAAAGCCTAGGAAATCAAGCAGAACGTTGTTCCTTTGAAGCTCCCTTTACATAGTGTGCTTTATGTAAAGCGATTTATCATAGTGAATGCTCCACTTAAAACTGTGGGGAGAATAAGAAACAGAGGTACTTATTGTCCACCAATGCTACAAAGAGTTCTTTAGCATCAAGCAGTTCTAGTTATACTGTTTTAGGAAACTCGAGACACACAGCCGACAAAGCATCGCTGAACCAGAGTACAAAATAGTCCCAAGATACTAAACTTTTAAAGATTTATTCTTTCATTAAGTTATGCTTTTAAAATAAACGTTAAGGGCACTGAAGGTATGTCTGCACTACAATTAGATACCCATGGCTGGCCCGTGCCAGCTGACACAGGTTTGCAGGGCTTGGGCCAATGAGCTGTTTAACTGTGGTGCAGACGTTCAGGCTCGGGCTGGAGCCTGTGCTCTAGGACCCTGCAAGGGGAGAGGGTTCCCGAGCACGGGCTCCAACTCGAGCCCAAACTTCTGCACTGCAATTAAACAGCCTCTTAGCCCAAGCCCAAGTCAGCTGCCATGGACCAGCTGTGGGTCTAACTGTAGTGTAGACATACCCTTAGAGCTTAGTATTAGTGCCATTTAACGATAATCTGTGACCTCTGGTCACACAGTATACACATGGCTGGAGAATAATTAGTAGTATATATTAATCCTATGGTACTGCCCAAAGGCCTCCAATGAGATTGGAGCCCCATTGTGCAGGGTGTTGAGACAATAATGTTCCTGGAGGCTTATCAGTAAATAATTAGAATGGTCTTTTTCATTTTCTTGAGGTGGGGTGAAGCCAAGTACTGAAAAAGTATATGGAAGGTGAACACACTGGCTTACATTTATGATATTTAAACTTGATAAGGGCACAGAATAAATTGACAGTTTCATCTCAGACATAGTAGTATACTAGTACCACATATTTCTATCTGTTCAGGTTTACAGCTTTCTAATTCTTCACTATGGGCCCACTATCCCCATACGCTGTAAGAAACAAAATGACATTATCTCCTATCTTAAACTAATACATTGAAAAACTGGAATTCTACTTTTCAGACTAGTTATTGTTGTTCAAAGCTGATTACAGGAGTAAAACTTCCATCTGCATACATTGTTTTCTTTATGAACAGACAGGAAAAAAAATACCTAACTAGCTAGGTTTCATAATTATTTACAGTATCTTTGCTGAAAGACTATTGGTTACCTGAAACTTAACTACAGAAGGGTTTTTATGGGTAGTTTAAATTCTGGAGCTTAAAGAAATGTTGGTAAAGCACTATCTTCTTCCATATAGAGAAAATCTGTACATACAGTAATGCCAGAAACCCAAAACTACTGCTGACTTTGAAAGACGTGATCGGAGGAAATAATTACTTGAAAGGGAGCAGGGTTGTTTCAGTAAAAATTAGTCTAGTTAAATAATGCTTTCATGCAGGACACACCAGATGTACAGTCTGCATCGATAAGAGGATCAGAACTCCCATAACTTCAGCAGGAAAACGTATGAGCCCTTCTAATATCATTCTTATTTATAGCACATTTTCTTGATCAATACATCTCAAAACCCTGGGTACTTAAAACAGCATCTATTGTGGGTCATCAGTTTAAAATTCATAGTTGTGGAAGGAAATGTTACTTGCAAATTTGTTAGCAGTTTGAGAAACTTTGAACTTCTGGATCTCTTTCTGGAAGATCAAAGCTTTTCCCTTTTCAATTTAAAAAGGCTCAGTTTAAATTAATTACCTTATGCACTAGATAAGAATGATTTAGCTCTCATACAGCCCAGCCTCCCCCACACACAGAAACTCCTAGAATTCCCAAGTCCAGCTGCACTAAGCAAGTCAATGTTGTTGAGAGACGAGACAAAGTAAGGGGAAATAATGTGCTCCGTAAGGCATATAAATTATGTATTCTAATACCTATTGCATTCTCCTCTTTAATATAATGGCATTAAAAGAAAAATAACTGGTAGATTACCTAGTTTAACATTTTGTCTCAGTGATCTCAAGTGTAAAAAAAACCAAGAACCCTATGAAGCGAATTTTTAACTATTTGATTTTCAAACGGCTGCATAGGTACCAGACCCCAAAAATCTTATTTGTGAATAGGACTGGCGTCTAAACATCCCATTCCTCACTTTGAAAATGTAACCCTATTTTAGAAAGGAGGTCTATCTACATAATCTGGTCTATATAATGGAAGTCTTCCCTGAACTAGTTCATAAAGATCAATAATGCCTGCATGGTTATCCATCCAATGGAAAGAGTTGGATTTGAGGAGGTATCTTCACACGATTACATGCTCTTAGTTTTGACATAAGAAGAGAGACTATAATTGCACTTAGATAAAACAACTCAAAATTTTACATAGATTTAAAAAACAAATTAATCTTAAATTATACACAAATAATCTATCTACCTGGAGTCTTTCCTGCAGGGTGAGAAGACAAATGTGGAAAAATGCTTCTTAAAGGGAAAGAATGTTATAATCACAAGTGATGGACTCGTATCAGCCAGAATGATTCCTTATTCAAGATGTTTTATAAAACTAGACTAAATGCACATGAGATTATCAAAAAAATAAAAACAGATTTGTCAGACTTGTTCTGTCCATACGGTATTACCCACCATTCTTCATTTGGGTCCTGTGGGGGTGGTATTTCTATTTCAGGTAGTGACTTCTCTTCATCTTTCTCCTGTTCTGATGCCTTTCTAGCAGCTTCACTCTCACGCAGATCTTGTATTTCTCTCCGTTTGTCTATGATCTTCTGAGTGAAATCCACAAGGTACAAATCCTCAGTTTCTTCATCTAGGGCAGAAAAATCAATTCTTAGATAACAGGCATCAAAAGAACACAACTGAGCAAGGAATCGATATGGAATAGCCACAATCAGTTTCACAGCTGCCAACAATGCCCTTGACTATACTATCAGACAATGCTTTAATCTCATCTAGTGTCAAGAAAATTCAGCTATATGTAAACTTTCTTTATTTAAAGCAATTAATTATATATACACCCCAGAAAAAAGTTCACAGCAACTGTGCTGATACCATCTTTAAAAAAATATATCTTTATGCTAATTACTAGTTACAATACTAATTCAAGTCAGAACATGAAAATGAAACTGGCAGTAACAGATTTAAAATTGCTAATTTTATTAAAGAGAAAGAATAAAATAGTTCTTTGACAAGTAAACTGTGAATATGAAAGAGATGAATGGGTACAGCAGGCTACTACATTCAATACTTCAGTTTCCAATGATGGTGTTCATAGAGGACAATTACTTAAGACTGAATTTAACATAAGGATGCACTTTGCATGTAGGATGCACCTAAGCAGTCACTTGAGTTCTCTTTCCAAAAGGGAGAATGATGAGACTACATTTTATATGATGGAGCTTGCACATAGAAACTAGAGAAAGCGATAGCATTGAAGGATTAAATTGAATTTGAGCCTTTTTACTACTAACTGTCACATCACACAAAGGATGGACGTGTGCTGAGAGGAAAGTGGAAGTATGTATATTTATTAGAGATTGTTAAAGCTGGGAGGTGAGATGTCAAACCCTACTAGCTACTGGCATTCACATATGGACCAGCCAGTCACCTCCTCTCTTTCCCAAGTTAAACTCTTCATATAGTGAAAAGGAAACATGCAGAAGCATAGATAAAAGCCAAGGATGTCAAAATGACAAAGTAACTTTACTTTTCTAGAGTTCTATACTAAGAAACCAGAATATATTTCTCTCGCTTGATGATCAAGCCAAATGATTCCCACATTTCTTTCCTAGGGCAGACTGTCCTTCAAAAAGTAATATTCTTTCCTTAGCACTAGCTTTTCTCTCTCAGCAAAAATAATCTTTATCAATCAGCTTGTACACTGTGCCTCCAAAAAGCTTATTTAGTGTAAAAGCTACATTTATTGATTAACAGAAGTACTGTATTTTATAACACAACAGCTGTCAACAATGAGACAGTTAAGGTGGCCAGCTTCTAAAGTGACCAAATAAAAGCAAGGTTTTTAAAAGATATACTGGTTTTATGCAGGTTTTGTTCACCTGGAAAGTCTCCTTTTGTCATCTTCTCATACAGCTTTGCTTTCTCTTCCAGTTTCTGCCTAAAGAAAAAGCAGGTTATATTTATAGTATGATTCCAAGTGCATCACAAACAGAATAGTCTTTCAGTATTTAGACTGCAATGGAATAAATGTCAATAATGTTTGAAATTTTCCCTTAGAGATGAACTGCAAGAGTTTTTACCAAACAATGGCTTAGGGGACACTGCAGGAAAAGCACCATTTTTCTTATACTGCTGAAGGTATCAGTGAAGTTATCAACCATAGCAAGTGGAATCGTAGAACCCAGAATTCAGATCTTAACAGCCAAGCAAAGGAGGAATTTTGTTTTAAACTGTAACTGACATTTCTACGAACATACAGATTCCTGATTAGTCTATATTGTGAACGATTTTTAATAAAAAGTAACATAGTTCACCTTCAATGAAATGATCAAATAGGTAGCAACATATAATGTAAGTATTGTATATCTCTGTAATTACAATTATCTAGATGACAGACCGAGAAACTGTACATCAGCCCAGAACCTCTCTATGGTAATTACTTTAAGGCAACAAGATATGGAACACAGTGTACAAGGCATGAGATACTACTGCATGAGATACCATTTGCCGGGAATGGTGAACTATGGCCACTGGGAGTTGCAAGCGGCCGTGCCTGCAGACGGTTAATGTAAACATTGTCTCGCGGCCCACCAGCAGATTATACTGATGGGCCGCATGTGGGTTGCCCACCACTGATCTAAATGGACACAGAAACCAGAGAGAATATCTTAAAACTACCTCCTGGAATGGTTTACACCTATGTATTCGTAAGAGATGGAGAATTTATAGCAGAGAACCAGCAGATGTCACATTTTAAAAGTATATTTTAATTGTACAACTAACCAACTCAGGTCATTGACCTGTAATTTTCCTCAAAAACATATATCTTATTAAATAGGTAAGAGAGAGTTTTCTGCAAAACTTATAAATACGTATTCTTTGGAGCACAAAATACTGATTGTGGTGTTTGTATCCATGCTTTTACTGAAATGGAAGAAAATGCTTTAAAAGAAAATCTATACTCTGTCAAATTTCTGTGGATACAATAATGTAAGTGTAGATGTCTCACAGTGCAGCGAGTGAAGAGACATTAACAAGCAATGAACCAGTTGCATCCCAGTGAAAACTGAATAGCTGCCACTTTTACTTGCATTATGCTATTTGCATGATTTATTTTATGCAATTTGTTACAAGTGTAAAAAAATTCTACAAAGCGTTTGGTTCCTCTTATTTATTTGTATTACTGTAACTTAAAAATTACCTCGCTTTCTCTAACGTTTGATCTTCTTCTATCTTCTGCTCAACATCTTTCTCAGCTCGACTTGAAACCCCTGTGTTCTGCTTATTCCAAATGTTTGGTTTCTGTGGAACATAGGTTTTTAAAACACAGGATTTCAACCTTATTTGACCATTAAAAAAAAATAAAAAT